ACACTCCCGTTTTAATAGCCCCGGCTGACGATTCTAAGTTGTCGGAGGATAACCACAAATCCGCAATTAATAGAAGCGTCCCTGACAAGGGCGACTGCATCATAATCCAGGGACTACCTGATTCCTCTGCCGACACTTCCAAGGGAAGAAGTGATGCTGACTTAGGGTTATTCCAGGAGCTCCTAAACGAACTGTTGCAACCATCTGAGGAAACCTTCTACAGAAAGATCTGCCGCATTGGCAGTCGCCTAAACATAACTCAGCAGACTAGGCCACGCCCATTTAAAATCGTCCTACACAGCCACAAGGAAGCAAAACTTCTACTGTCCAGGCGTCTTCGATTGAAGCACTTCCAAAAGGGTGTTTTTTTCCAGCCGGATTACTCTCCTGCCGAAAGGATGAAGCGCCACAAATTAGTTCTAAAATTGAGGGAACAGCGAATCAACGGAGAAGTGAATCTAGTGATTTACAAGAACCAGATAGTCGAACACATTCTGCCCCCTCCTGGATCAAATCGATTTGAATGGCCGCGCAAGCACTCAAAGCTGACGTTTACGTATAATAATTCGCAAAGCTTGGTTTCAAAAATGGATGAACTGAAAATCAACGTATTCGACCTCCATCTAGATATTATTTGGATAACAGAAACATGGTTTTCGGACCAGATTGACAATAGAGAGGTCGCAATACCTGGCTTTCAACTGTTCCGCAAAGACAGCGACAACCGAAGAGTTGGCGGTCTAGAAACCCTCATAAAGAACGGTTTGTATGTTTCAGAAAAAAGGGCTAATCTGTCTTGTCCGGAAACACCATGGTTGACTGTAAAAGCAACGGGTTCCCAAATCCTCGATATCTTAACTCTCTACCGAGCCCCAAGGAACGATCATGAAGCTGATGCCCTATTGCTGGATGGGCTTAAAGCCTTTCCTGTGCGATCAAATACTCTTATCGTTAGGGACTTCAATGTGCCTACCATCAACTGGAGCTCCACCTCAGCCGATTGCCCTGAATCGGCATTCGACCACCAGCCCCTGCACACAACTGAATTCCTGCTTCTCACCCAGCACGTCACCTTTCCCACAATAATTCGTGAGGGCCAATAGATGAACTGTTTCAACCTTGGGCTCACTAAGTAACCTGACAATAATGACATTGTGAATTGCTTACCCCACTAAGCCAGAGTGACCATATAGTTATCACATGGGAATACCCTTTATTTTCTTTGCCTGCCCAACCGCCAGACCTACGACCAAATATTTCGCGTCATGATTTCGAGCAGATGAAACATGAGCTCTCTTTCATCGACTGGGCATCCACACCCTCCAACAAGGTTGAGGAAGCTTGGGAACAATTAAAAAGATAGTTCACAACCTCATTACCAGCCACTATTCAATCACGCGCAGAAAATTAACGAACAGACCTCGCTGGTTGACTCCATCTTTAAAGACGGAATTTAACAAGAGGAGAAAACTGTGGAAAAGGTACCTTATTGGTAGGACGCCTGAATCCCTCAATATTAACAAGATGCAAAGGAACCGGGTCAAACGTCTCATTGTCAGAGATCGACAGATGTTCAAAGAGGATCTGTTAAACCTAGCCATGGTTAATCCCAAAGTCATTTACAGTTATATAAGGCAGAGCATGCGGAGCAATGATCCTATCACCTCATTACGAACTGTCGAAGATGTAGAAATCTCAAGGGACAAGAATAAAGCTGACTAACTCTCTCAGTTCTGCCGGTCCGTCAAAACGACTGAACCCGGTTTTTTATCTCAAACTTATGAAGACAATTCGATTCCATTTATTGATACAGTCCTGTTCACCGAAGATATAATTAGGACTGAGTTTCTAAATTTTAAAGAATCGACCTCCCCAGGCCCCGATGCAATCCCGGCCAATCTGTTGAAGGAGCTAGCTTCTGAAATGGCCAACCCGCTAGCTCTAATCTTCCAGGCGTCATTTCTTACTGGGTGCCTACCCTCTGATTGGAAGACAGCAACGATCACTCCACTTTTCAAGAGTGGAAGCCGAGCGTCTGCAAATAATTACAGGCCGGTGAGTCTTACCTCCATTTGTTGCAAACCCATCGAAAATATCAGTAAGTAGGCGTTGATGCAGTTCCTCGAGCAGAATCACCTTTCGCAGTGGCAGGTCATGTCTTACGAATCTGCTCTACTCACTTGATCCCTAGACCAAAACACATGACGAAGGCAAAATGGTGCATGCTATCTACATTAACTTTAAAAAGGCGTTCGACACCTTCTCTCACCAACGCCTCATGCATAAACGGCACAGCGCAGGCGTCCGTGGGACCCTCTTCCTATGGATCCAACACTTTTTGACAGGACAGCCCCAAAGAGTACAAGTCGGTCGCCAGCAGTCCTCAGGATTACCTTTGATGAAAGACGTCCCAAAGGGCTCAGTTTTAGGTCCCACATTGCTCCTTGTTTTCAGCAACGACTTTGTCAGGTACCTAGACTGTCATAAGTTGCCCGTTTTGCTTGCAATAACAGTGCACTTATAGATTCCGGTGACTGCTGGGGTGCATTGGAGGCCTCCGTTTTTTTTAACAGAATTATGAGTTCGGGCAACAAACTATTTTAGTTTGGGCTAGGTGTTTGACCCTGTTCCTGACGCCTGAAACGGCATCACTGATGTAATTATGTCTAATCCCCTTTAAATATAATCCGAACACTTTACATTTGCTTCAGTCTTAGCTCTGTATGTGAGAACCATAGGTTACCTTTGATCTGAAGTACGTGTGTTGAGAGTATAGTGTCATAAGTTTTACCCTCTAGGTTACGCGCGTAAATAAGAGATTGGAATTGCGTGAGCAATATATAATTATTCTGTCGATAATACGGTTGTCAAGTCAAATGCGTGCCAACAACACCGAGAACCAACCATACTGTTATTTCCGGCTGAAAAAAGTTTGAAATTCTCCACGTCCTTTCTCCAGCGCAAATCCTGTTTGACTTACAGATGATCGTTTCCATCTTATGAAGGCTGCCCCCCCTTTCTCTGGGCCGCGTGCTCGTATCCCCTTCCTCCCTCGAATGCTGGCCGCTTTCCCGTGTTTACCCCTCCTCACTCGATTGCACTCGATTGCACACGACTGGACACATACTATACCTATTATACTGTCTTTCCTTCAGATTTTTTCAACAAACACTGCTCAGCGTATTATCCCAGCAACATCGATCTCTTCTCGTCCATGTCTTGTAGATGTATAGATCAGTTACGTTTGCCTAGATACAGTGCATAGAACGCACAACCGCGATATAAAGCAAATGCTCCGATTAAAATAAAACGGAAAATGTTGTCCAAGCAAACATTTGCAAATGCAGAGTTCATGTCGTTTTTGTTTTTGTTGTTGTGAAGAGCATGACGGAGGTCGGTCGCAGGTAAGGCAAACTACGGTGTCGACACTAAATCCGTCTCCAGCTTCTCCTTATCAGTTTCATAATCGCCAAAAAATTATTTATGGCGTTCACCTCCTCCAGTGAAATTCCAGG